CACAGAAATAAGCAGCGATTGGCTGTTCCTATTTTGCAAATCTTAGCTTAAGGTTATCCTTCCAAGGAAGCGTTATTTGAGGAAATCTAGGGATTTATTCTTGTTAGAGAAGGTGTGAAGGCCGTAGGGGATTTCCTGTGAATTAGTCATTGCACTTCTTTGTTTGATCCTTCCCCGTAAAGGAACTGTTTGGCAAATACAATAACTTGATTTGGGTACCACCTCGCGGCTAAGCTTTAGGCCTGTTTTTTCGCAATGGAGCACGGCAACGTCATAGTACAAAGCCCCAACAGTGTCCAGATCGAATGGTGCGTAAATCTTCTTCAGATTTTCTTATCTTTAGACCATTTCGGTATGCTGAACAGGAATAACTGAAGTAGTCAGCAAACAGAGTTTTTGGGCCTTTTTTTTGACTGAGCAAGACAAGTTGCGGCAGTGTGATCTAAACGTGTCCCAAAATGTTCGGCTGCTTCTTGTTCCTTAAACTGCTAGCGGGAAGCGGCAGAGACGGCCTCGCCGATAGAGAAAAATCGCTAGCTGGGAGGTGCGGGAAATAAATAGAGTTGTGGAGAAAAACCTTGAGCAATTCTTGTTCATTTCGAGTATTCTCGACTGCACGAGTATCACCAGTTAGGCCAACTAAAGTAATGACAGATGTAGTGAGGCTCACGAAATTGTTTGGCTGGTCCTTTAGCTTGACTTTTTCAGTTTTTCATACGTAATTTAAACTAGGTTTGAGTCATGTACAGTATTTTCTTATTTCTCAAATAATTTATGAATTGGAAGCAGCACTCTTATCACAAGTGATTACTGGTTAAAAGTAATAATTTATCGTCAAAGTTGAGAACGGAACGATTAAGCGCAAGAGAGGAAGAAGAAGGCAAAAATTTATGGAAATAACATCACCTATTTCCATGCTGGTTGTTCGTTGGAATATAATCGGAAGATACCCACTGCTGCACCATTGGGAGAGTTCTTCTCTAGATTGAGAGAGCTTGTAGAGCTTCCTAAAAGTTTAAGTTCTAGGAGTTTTTTACGGAAAAGCTCAAATTAAGCCAGAAAGCCTGGTGTAATAAGAAGGATCAAAATTCTGCTCGTCGGTGAAGTGCAAATACACCATCTTAATCTTGCAAGCGGTGCACCACGGAAAGTATAGCACCTGGAAGAGACCT